ATTGCTTTTTTATGATTTGGCAAATTGTATTTATTTTTAAGTGAATCTCATTTATTGAGATTGATAATTCTAGGTATCATTTACTTTGAAATTGCATTTTCCAATTGCTTCCAATGATAAGTTCTGGCAAAATGTGGACCAATAGGCCAGTGATATAAAGATTAAGAAAAACATCAGTTGACCTATTTTGTAAATGCACTAATTATCTTTAATACAAAATTAAAAACATGATAAGATACAGTAAAAAATTACTAGCAAAGTACTGACACTAAATTCCTTGAGAACAAGGTAGTTATATAAATATGAAAGTATTTTATATTTTCCATTTGAAAAGTCTTAAACATTTTTGGGCACTGTCCACATGTATTTTCAAGCTTTGGTAGCATTGATAGTCCTACAAAGTCATCAATGCTTACTCAGAAAATTACAGCCACCAACTAACTGGAAACAAAAAGCAGCCTGATAAATTCTGTAGCATTCTCACAGAAAAGATGCCCCTAAGAACTACAAAATAGCTATGTGCTTTCTGAATTATCAGAGCACTAATAGTCACTTCAGCATTAAGGGCAAATTTAGTGAAATCTAGAACTCTGAAAACTTAACAGAGATAATAGCTCAATTGTGTATCAAATAACACTTAGCTAAAACATTGAAATAGTGATGGCAGATATGGAAGAAAAAACTAAAATTTAAACAAGAGTCTTCTTGGTTCTTGAGGAAGTTGGTGAAGTGAATTACTACCAAAATAAGAGCTTACTGGAAAAGAGCCTATAAAATGTCAGTTCACTTTAACCTGTATGCCTAGATTTAAAAAATGGTTTTAAGAAAAAACTGACTTAAATACTTCTAAAATAAAGTATGTGGTGGTTTTCAGTCTACTTTGGAGTTGTTTAATATTTTAAAATACAATGTATACTGTTTTCTTCAAAACACACACACAAACACACAAACGAAAAAAAGAAAGTCATATAACTTGATATCCACGTTGTGAACAGAGTTCTTGTGGGTTTTGCGGTTCTGCTTATGTAGCCAAGAAACCCTCAGAAAGACATTCAGGATTCCCAACATCTATCAATGTAAGGTTTGAGGTTGAATTTTTGAAACTTTTTCTCATTTTATTTAAAAAAAAATCCATTTTAAAATCAGGCAGTTAGAAAATTGCTACATCTCAATGACAGGATTGCATTTTGTGAAGTCTTACACAATAATCCACTTTCTTATTTCCTTCATTTACTACATAGTTCTGAAGTTAAATTTAAATCTGTTGACACCAAAGGATAACTACTCTGTGGTATGGTACCATTCTCATTTACTGGAAAACTCATTTTCACACTATGAAAATATAGAAAACACATTGTAAATTAATGTTTCTGGGTGAGGAGCGAAAAGTGTGTGGCCAAGTCAAATGGTAACTGTTAATTACGGTCCAGAAGACACCTCATCCTTTCAGCTAGTTCAGGTAAGACTACTCTTGATTACTAGTAAACTCTGGCCACAGGGCTTTTCTAGACTAGGAGGGAAAGAAAGGAAACGACTATTCTCTATTTTTCTGACAGAAGTATAAATTTTGGCTATTGCAAATGTTAAATAGAAAGAAATTAAATACACTTAAAATGTAATCCTTCCAAGAAGGTAACATTTGCTTCTTGCTTTAAAATATTTTGTTAAAGGTAGTAGAGGTTGTAACATATTTTAACAATGCACACAAAGAAATCCAAAGGCAAAATTAAACATAAAAGATGTATTGTCCCTTTCCGTTCTTAACATATGCAGCCCCCCAAACAGCAAACTTCCCAGTTGTTTTAAACAAGTGGATTAAAAACAAGATTAACAAAATGTCCAAAGCATGTCAAATTATAGCTTCTACTAGTTAAAAATTCTGTTGATTGTAAAACTCTGTTGGTGGCCATTTGACCTAGTATTTTTTAATATAAATGAGACTAGAAATGACAGGGGGTGGAGGAGGGACTTTCTTTCTTGAATAAAGAGGGAAATTTTTATCTAGAATGAATTATCTGGAGATGAAAAGAAAATTCAAAATCAGGCTTTACCAAAAATCTGAAAATGTAACAAATTAAAATATAAGAAGTGTTATACAATTAAAAACTTAAAAAAACTTCCTAAGCACTTTTAATTAGGTAAATACATAAGTGATTTGGGGAAATTATTTAACGCTAAACAATCATGTAAATAAATATTTAAAATAAAAAATCAAATGATGATAAATAAATAAAAATAAATTATTTCCATGCAGATCTTCAAACTGATAACTGAAAGTCATTAAGTTAGATGATTTTACAGTCATTAAGTATATCAGGAAAAAGACATGGCCGGATAATTGTCATAATGTATAGATACATATGATCTAACACCTAGATATTTAGATAGAATCTAGATAGATTTCATATAATGTCTTAGAGTTTTATTAGCATTTACCCTAGAAAATGATGATCTTAGTTTTTATTAATATAGTGAAGTATAGGCAAGTTTGGTTAAGAAGTTATTCTATCCAGACATAAACTGTTAAGGAATTTTCACTTGGTCTCTCATGAAATTGCTAAAAAAAGTGAACATATCCTTCTGCAATATTCTTCGTGCTTCAGAATATATTTTAAGGAATTTCTGATGTGGAATATTTTGGTAAGTCCATTCATATTCTCCACCTTTCCTATGTGCATGAGACTCAGTATTTTGTTCATCCTAAAGCCATTTTTTAAAAATAAGAAAATGGTTCTTGTATTGTAGTGGACTTTAAAATGTAGTTTGCTAAATTTCATGTTGTTCTATAAATGACCTGCTAGTCTTATTGATTGGGAGGCAGTCATAGTAATGGAAAAGTTTTCAAATGTAAACATTCTCCAACTGGATGAATCTCCATGCCTCCCCAACCCCCAAAGTATAGCTCATTTTAGGTAGAAATGAATACTTTTTGGTTAGAATAAAAATTACTCAATAATTAAGTGTAGAAATTTCCCCAGTTTTGCGAGTACTGGTTTCAGTGACTATAAAGTAGCAGTTTTAACCTGGGCTTCCTTACTTGGTCACTGCTCGGACTGACGCCACATTCACGTGTGAGGGCTACTGTGAGTCAATAGATGGCAGTCCATCGCCTAGTAAAAGAGCTGAAGATGACTAAACTGAGCATGTATCTTCCCTTTATTCAAGATTAAGTATTGCTTAATTGTACACATTAGGATATTGCCAATACACATAATTATTTTGAGTGGACTGACATATATGTATACCTGTCTATGAATATACAAATTTAGAATGGTGAACTAATTCTTAACTGATAAATACTAATTGTGGTAGTCATTTTAATATTATTTTGGAAAATTAATCAGGATTCTAGATTGAGAGATTTTTCAGAATGATTTTGTTATACCTCTTGATAGAATATATTCTAATTCCTCAAAAGGCAAATTCATTTTGTTTCGGTTTATTTATTTCTAACTCTTCTTTTTACATTTACAATTTGTTTTCCTAAAGCTGTAATTTTCAACAAGTCTTCAGCTATTTCTTCTATATTAAATAACCAACATTTATCCTTCTTTAATAGTGCTATATAATAGTAGTTGCAAATAATGAAAGGAATAGCCTTGATATGAAACAGCACTTAAATAGTTCTCACACTTCAAGTTTTCAAGGTTATAATTCTCTAACTTAGGGGGAAAGGAAAAAGAAGTGCAATTTATATCATTTAATGTGACTTGTTTTAAAGAAAAAAGTGCTGGATAGTACAAAGAGTAACTGGGATCTAGGAAAGTAAAATATATGATTGGATTCCAATCAGGTTTATACTCTAAGGATTAGGATTAAATTCTTCTAGTTAGGATAAAAGCATTGTAACACAGGCACAAACTTAACGTATCTATGTATGAGTTACATCTATAACATATTGTGTAAGATATACATAAATGCAAATATTTCTGTCTTTTTGGTATAACACTAAAGATTTTAACAAAATCCAGTATGGGACTTGAGGGATAGATGAGAAATTACAGGTTTTTATTAAGAATCTTGTGAAACAAACCATCTGATATTACTCCTAGCTTCTTGGGCCTGTGATAAACTATTATTAAATTTAACTCTACTTCTTTGTTTACTTTTTATTCTTAAAAGAGGAAACGAGTAAGAAGACATGTTTTGGAAAATTGTGTACTTTTTATTTTTACTACTTTTCTTAAGGAAAAAACCTTCCTAATATCTTAAACCTTAAGGAATCACTTTTTATTCATTATATAAATGTATAGTTAAGAGTAATTTTTATTGTTGTCTCTTGCTCAGCCAACACACTTAATAATTAAAAGAAATGACTAGTAGGACTGTGTTGCATTACTGAAAATAAGCTGACTCCATGATATTGTGCATTAGTGAGCTGATTTCCATAGCAAACTATGTTTTCTCCTTCCACTTGGCCTAAAATCAGAATAAAAGAAAACCAGAGGGTTGAATAACCTGAATGGTATTAAACAGATATTTATATACTTTGAACAAGTCAAGAAGGGCTTAAGGACATGACAATAATTGCTCTATAAGAAATATAACACTAAGCTTTTCTAGTTTCATTAAAAATATGTAAATCATTCAGGAAAGTGAGAAAATTGATAATGGAGGATCTTGTGGACTGTATGCTTGTGTACTACAGACAGTACAACATTTTAAAGACAGTGAATTACTATTATTTTTATGACGCCTAACATACTTTTCCCCTTTGATTTAATGACTGTAGTCTGGGAATACTGAGATATCATGATGTAATAATTAATGATGTGAGTAATAAACAATGAAAATGTCCTAAGAACAGGAAGCTAAAGAAAGAATAGGATAGTGGGCAGGGGAGAAGAGAAAAAGTATATTATTGCCTTCTCAGTGTAAAAACTCTTCAGATGTTTATTATCTTCCAGCAGAAGATGCTTGTCTATATTTTATGGTCAGCAGTTCAGAGAAGGGTAAATAGGCTAGGTCTTGGGGAAAATAAAAAAGGTGTTTCTACTCAC